AATGAATGAATGAATAAATAAATAAATAAATAAATAAATAAATAAATAAATAACAGTGTTAAGCGGTCATTCTGGCTTGATTTTAAAGATTTGTACTCACTTTGACAAGAGGAACATGCTGACTTGTGTATGAGAAGAACCATCACCTTATTGCTAAAAGAAAGGAAGAATCAAACACAATAAATGGGTATTCATTGGCGGAAATTAGCTGGTGCGATCGGCTTCACAAGACCTCTTCTCGTTTCCTCACAGGAATCCCGCCGGTTTCAATTTCGCGCTAATAATAGCACTAGTCTTTTTTGATTGGTTAGCTGTTATAACTTTATTCCTTAACCAAAAAATCCAGATGGTAAGTTGAGATGAAAATTCCTTAGCCTTGGACTTCCATCTTCAAACAAAAACAAAAAGAAAAAAAAAAAAAAAAAAAAAAAAAAAAAAAAAAAAAAAAAAAAAAAGCGGTGGAAGGCACGGAAAATGAATTGAAAAACTCTTACTCTTTTTTGGCCAGTTTGAGACCTTCTTCATACGTGTGCCATTGGATGTGGTTTCCAAAACCTTCAGGAAGAACAATACATATGTAAGTATATAAATTTTGGACTACAAAAACTTTAAAATTTAGAAGATACAGGAAGAATTTGGGTAAGGAGAAAGGGAAAACAGTTGTATAGAAGAAAATTGCATCCAGATTAAAGGTGCCACTGAACCTAGTAACCAAGTTCTGAGGCGCCAAGACAACCATAAAAAGATTGAGTACTTTCCTAACATTGTTATACTGTCCAAACACAAATTCCCGGAAAAATGGTTATTCTTTTTAAAAGATCTTTCTTACCGTTTGATAAGTCTTGTACTTCGGTTTCTTCTTTAGGCATCCACCATGGTTTCTTTTCTTCTTTCTTGTCTTCTGATTTTGTCTCTTCTGTAAAAACGATAAATCATAATAAGGATGAAAATCATGCCAGACTTGACGTTTGATCAAACACATGCTAATTCCACGGGAAATGAGACGCAAAACGAAATAAGAGTTTCAATATACTATTTAAAATCTTCATGAAGATTTTGCGCTTATTTAAAATTTTTCCAGGCGACTATTTCCTCTGACCACTCCTCTTTCCTTCCCCAGGCTCTAGCCTTTTGAGCTGGTCGTGTGGAACTTCCCTCAGTATTTTGAAATGCCCTCAAAATTAGGAATAGTATTTATCAATGATTTTTAAGGACTTGCCATAGGACTTAGGACTTATATATCCTGTGACCATTTTTTCCTTCCGAGTTGTCCTGCCTATGGAGCCCGATGAGTTCGAATCCAATTAATCCCCCTCCCATCCCCCGTAACCGACATTCAAGACCCACCCTAGACAAGGTAACGCGTTTCCATAAACTTACCTTTTTGTTCAATTTTCTTTTCTTCTTCCCCTAAAGCCCTTTCCATGGATCTAACAACTTAGAAACAATAAAGAGAAGCATGAGATCCTTAGACTGGATAGGTTATATTGACATTCTTTAGTAAATCAATAACCCATTAATACTCAGCGCAGAATATTCACTAATATTAATGGTAAAGAGTTAAGAGTACACAATTTCAACAAAAACGTTGAAATTCCACGGACGTTCGCTGGCAAAAGCGAACATTCTACACATTAAGGCTAATTAGGCCTGAGCAACAGGGCACTCATTTTACATCCATTCCTAATGCTCTTCACAGAAAAATGTAAATGAAAAGAAAAAAAACTTAAATCTTACGTTGCTCGGCGGTGGAGTAGTAGTACTTCGTATGAGGATACTTGGTGCCTTCGTTCCAAATTGATTCAATAACTCTGCCTTCAGGATCTTGAAATAGAGGAAACGAGAAGAAACAGAAAGATACATGTGAAGAACTAGCTTTTAAAATAGCAGTAGCTTAGAGAAGGGACCAAAGGAATCATTTATGCAAACGCAGGGCATATGCAAGGAAACCCAGAATACGTTACAAAAGTCTATACCTTGTATCATCTTCTATATTGATACTGTTATTGGTGGAGTCCGGTTGTTTGTAGTTTAAATTAGAGCAATAAAGCAAAATATCGTAACAAATGTCAGAAAACCCAGCAATTCTCAATTCTTCGACATTGCCTTGTCTAAGAGTTTTTAATGAAAGAGCAATGACCTTACGCGCAGTGATCATTGGTTTTGACGGTTATCGTCAGATCCGTAAGGACGTAAGGAGGCAGTCTTCTGTGCCGTATGGTTTCATAGAATAATATAGTCTAACTAAACAATGGATAATGTAGTAAGTTTCGCCATTCCTTATTATCAATAGACCTTACTTCCGGCAATATCTGTGTTTTGACTGGGAGCAATTAAAATGTATAAGCTTGGAGGTTCTTCCAGGTTGTATGTGTATATTTTTTTGTGTTTTCAGAAAGTAGAAAAAGTAAGATTGAAGCTTTAAGAAGAACATATTTTGACATTTTTTGACTTAGCAGTTGCTGTTTCTTTTGTCACCTAGTTGAATATTAATTTCGCCTAGTCAACTCCCAAGAGTCACTTGATTGACAATAAGCAATTGTATGTTAGATGCTTTTACCCATAAAGAAAATCCTTGGTACGTATTCTCCATCAACCACGAATTGACTACCAGATGGCTCTTCATCATCTTCTACATTCACCAACACAAACTTCTTGCTCAGATCAGCGAACTTTTCTGACTCAGCTAGTTTTGGCTTGAGAGCTTAAAAACAAAGAATTCTGCATAAATAATTACCTTTTGAAATTTATAATGTGCTGGTAAATATTGCAGGGCTAGCTAATTGCAAACTGCGCATGCCTGGCATTGCAATTTTGTCGAGAGATAAATTTAAGGTTGCCCAGTAATCATGTTCTACATTCACCATCACAAACTCCTTGGTCAATTCAGTGAACTTTTCTGACGCAGCTGGTTTTGGCTTGGGCGCGAGCGAAAAATTTTACTTAAATACACTTGCATTCCCTTCCAACTGAACTAATCAGGGACTTAACTGAATACAGCAAACATAACGGTAAAGCGAAAGTCTTCCTTTCCATATTTCTGCTTCTTGTAAGGCCAGTATATTATATTTAAATCAAAAGAAAACAGAAAAAATTCGCAAAAGTTGGATAAAAGTAGCCTCGGCCGGCGACAAAACCTCTAAACGCAGACGCATTGTGATCGGCTGAAACAAAATTCACCGCTACTCAGCTGGTTAGATATCTGTAACATGCTGTTAGATTTTGCAAGGCTAATTACAATTTGCCTGGCTTTGCAATTTTATCCTCGAGACAAATCAAAGTTTGCCCAATAGTATACCATGAAACTGTTCTCTTACCTTTACATGCACCGCACCAACTCTTGTGGATAATGAGCATAAGTTTCTTGTTGCTAATTAAAAATACATAATTAATAAACAATTAATACAACTAATTTTGAAAGGTTTTCTAGAGTCGCCTGTTTCGCAACTAGCTTGACACCAGTGATTTTTTTTATTTGAGTCGATCAAACAAAAATCAAAATTAAATTATTGTTTAAGAAGCGAGCAGTGGTATTTCCGCAAAGTGGCTCTTCTTCCATATAATGCAATTGGAATGGAAACTTTAGATTTTTTTTTTTTTGACAAGAGAAATATTTATAAAGTAAAAATGATACAGATATTTACCTCTCTTTGGCCTCCTCTAGTCCTTGTTTATAAGACACCCAGTTGATATTATCTCCAAAACCTAACCACAAATAGATTTTTTAATAATCGATATGTCAATGTACAGATGATTTACACCAGTTTCGCATTCGAAGTTTTCGCATTCGATGCATACCGCTGCTTTTGAACACCACAGATTTCATTACCCGGATAAAGTGAGTTTAACACCAACCTCTTGCTAATTTATTAGTTGTATCTTCATCTTCTTCGACGTCATCAAACGGAATGTTGAATTTCTTGAGGACAGTTTTCATGCTGTCGACAACTAGAAATACATGGAATTTGGTTGATTATGGAAATGGTTTTAATTCATTTTCTAGAACTTTGGAAAACTAACAATATCTTAATTTAGGTCGAGCAAAAAATGGGGAATGGGGGGGTTGGTCCTTTGTCCTTCTAAATTATTGGAGGGGGAGGGGAGGGGGAGGTGAATTTTTTAGGAGAGAAGAATTGTGGAATTTTTTGATAATATTGTGATTATTGTGGCCACGTGGAGTGACTCACCATGGGGAAACTAGGATATGTCCCTTTTCAACCCTCCCCTTTTATATACAGTCCTCAGTGCGACCTACTTTGAGAGATTTTTCCATAGTAATATTTGCTGTTCTTGGCATAAGCTCCTTTTGAGTTGAAAACATCTTTCATGACTTTTCCATCAGTGCCTGCAAGACAAGTAAATCAGGTTAAGTAGAAAAACTAAACTATAGAGACCCCAAGGCCGGGAGTTGATGCTGAATTATGTTAAAACTTTTAAACTGTCGTAGGACAAAGGTAGCCCACGCTAGATATTGTTTGCAGCTACTTGAGTAGGACCACAGGAAGCCTGAAAGTGTTTGTCTTTTTCTTCTCTTTTTTACATAGTTTCTTTTTCCATTATGGCATTTTGCGTTCAAGTTTTTACTAAGAATCAAAACTAAGACGTTTGAATAAGTATCGATTCAAACAGCACGTATTGATATATCACTCTGGTAACGAATCGATTTAGCCAAAGGTCCCTCGTTGGGGAAGGCCCTGCTGACTGGCAAACAAACATTAAAATGCTTCGTATCTTGAAATGGAAGGCATGTTTCAAAAGGAAAAAAGAGCATTTTGGAAAAGAATTTGAATATGACATTATTAATCAGGCAAAAGGTTTTATTCATTCAATAAGAGAAATTCGAATTTATTTTACCTGTCAGTAAAAATCACGTGATAATTTGCCCGCAAAGCGCCATTTTGACTTTCGAAAAGATGCAAGGAGAGGTCGAGAACAATGGAGACATTAGAACGGCTCTAAGACCTTCCATTTCTGCAATTTGTTTATCTCAGAATCTTTTTTTGAATAATAATAATAATAATAAAAAGTTCTACTAACCAAGGAAATATATTCTTGGAATATACCGTCCATCAACTCTGAACTCATCTCCCTCGGGTTCATCATCATCCTAACAAATCAAGGCAATTAATAAAAAATATTTTTTAGATATATGAGTAAAATAATACATCGTGGATTTTTTTCTGAACATAGGAGTGGAGAGAGAGAGAAAAAAGAATTAGTAAAGGATGCAAAAAAGAATGAAAAATAATAGGAGAGAAAGAGAAAGACTAGGAGAATTAAAAAAGTTACACTCGAACTGTGAAAACCTCAATTTGTTTTAGGTTATTTATTTCCTAAACTTTATATTTTCTTCCAAACTCTCTAAAATGAAACATTGAGTTCAAATACACCGAGTGATCAAAATGAATCTTGGGGATATACATTTTAAAAAAAGTGACCGCAAAAAACTCGAAACCAAACCAAACCAAACCAAACCAAACAACACAACACAACACAACACAACAACAACAACAACACAACAACAACAAAACAACAACAACAAAACAACATCAACACCAAACAACATCAACACCAAACAAACAAACAAAAATTACTATTAACTAAATAAGATCAATATAATAAAGAAAAATCTATCCCTTTAATTCAAAATATTTACTCAGTTAATTTTATCTATTCTCACCAACACTGGTCATCAACATCTATTTTGCCATTTCTTTTTTTTCCAGGTTTCTGCTTTAGTGTATAAGCCACTAAATCGCTTTTAATCAACTTACCTCCAAATGAACCATCAAAAACTTCTTGCTAAGCTGAGTGATGCTCTTGGATACAACGAATTTGGGTCTCAGGGCTAGAAAAATTGTCAAAATAGGAAAATGCGTTATATATTGAATTTATTACCGACATAGCTAATATATAAGGCGTGCTGTGATTGGCTTAACGGTTAAGTCTTCATTTTTACCTTTACAAGCTCCACACCAACTTTTTGTTATCATTACGAAAACAGGTTTGCCGCTGAAGAAATAAGAAATTAAAAATTAAAAATCAAAAATCAAAATAGAATATGTTTTTGCTTCATATAATAGCTTATTAAGATATATAAGAACTACTAGACTAAATCATGAACCTCCTTTGGTTCGTGGAACAAAGGGAATTGAAAATTTTTATTTTTTATTTTTGTTATTTCAGGTTAATTAGTCTTGCAGAAGCGTATAAATATGGGGATTTAGTTCCTCGCTTTTGACACCGGCCTATTGCTTGCTATCAATCACGTGACTTTTTTTGGAGTTGACTCAGTGAGGAGCAAGCGGTTGACTGAGGGGCAACTAGTGGATGTTAAGTCAAAACATGTAAATAACGTCCTAAACTATTGTATTTGACTATTTCTACGACATGAAACCAGAAAACAAGAGATCAAGACAACCTCCAATATTCTATAAACCATTAAAAGTTTACACAGAAGTAATGTCTATTGATAGCAACCTATTGATGATGGTCATCTGTATTTTTGTAGTTTTCAAACAAAGTTGTTTTTAGAACTGGGTCATTTGCAACTTCGAGACATCTACGTTTTTGCTTTTGTCAGTCAAATATTTATTAACTAAGATTGTTAAAAAGTACCAGAAAATGTGTCGCGTCTCGAATTACCTAGGAAACTCCTCTAATTCTAGCTTTTTCGCTCTTTGGTTTGTTGTCATTCCGTAGAATGTCTTAGCTCTTAATTTAAAAAAGCTACGAAAAGGAAACTGCCAAAACCTAGCTCGGCTTCACAATGAATAAAGTTTATTAATTAGGTCTATTTTTAGGCTTTGAGGCGAGGAACTTTTTTATCTGTATCAGTTTCTGGTTTAATTTTCCCTCCCTCCAAAACCTAACACGATAAATTCTAATTCGATATGTGAGTAAGCTGTGCCCTGACTTTGATCAGGAAATTTGAAGGGTTTTGGAGCTGAATTTCCTCGCGGGATAAGAACGCCCGGATATGGAGTGGGTTACCTGTGTGGACGTAACAGCAGGCGAACTGTTCTTGATAGTCCAACATATGATCATGGTGTCGGTATTGTTGTTATTCAAAGACGTCAACAAAGACTTAATGCTCGCTTCTTTATTAGCTGCTCATTAGATATTAACAACATGTGATACGCTAGATTTAAATGAATTTCCGCTATATATAGCTATATATATACGACTTTTCTTCTCTTGAATATATTTCTAATCAAACTTAATAGTGACACAAATAAATCTGCGTATTTATTATAAGATGGAAAGAACAATAACTCGTTTCTATGCTTCACATATCCACGAGTTAAAAATGACTGAAAAACAATCTATTTCACGTCGATAACCCATCGAGTGATTGCTCACTTGATTGATTGCTTACGCTAAATTGATTAAGAGTTTCGAATAATTTTCTCGTAGTGAGGAAAACTAGAAAACCAGGAGAAAAACCCTGGCAAGGAAGTGAGAGCGAACAAACTACTTTGTACTATTTCCAAATAGTACTTCAATTTTATCCTGAAATGCATGGAGTTTATGGAAATAATAAAAATACATTTTATCGACTGTATTTTGCAATTGGAAAACAAATTTAAGAAGATCAATTCTGTTCCAAACGATTAGCACAAATATCTTTCATGATTAAATATGACTGAGATATAATCAATTCTTTCGACATTTATCTTAATTATATCTTCTTAAAAAATTATTTGCAAAATATAAATAACAAATGTGTAATCTTTTTACTATTATCTTGAAAGATTTAGTTTTCATGTAATCACAATTTAGCGTTTATTTGAAACTTAGTGTAGTGTAAATCTAAGCAAATATTTCATTTATCGCAAAGCTCGAAGCGAGTCAATAATGGAATTTAAGTATATTGTAAATCTACCTTTTAAGGTATAAAATACTTTTTTATGTGTTGCTTGGAAAGCTTTGGTTTATAACCCTTCATACTGAGTTATTTCGTTTTTCGAAATTAAATCATTTCTTACCTTTTTATTGCTGTCTTTCTTGCTTTTTCAAGTTTAACCCATTTTACTTCCGTTCCCCATCCTATACAAGTCGTTCATAATTTTCAGTTTAAACAGCTTTCTCAAATCTAATTATTCAATTACTCTTTCGTATCATGTATTAGTAGAATATCTGTGTTTTGTCCCAGGGTTTTATAAGGGTTCTCCGGGTTTTTCCCCCCCGAAAATCTAACACGCCAAACTCCAATTCAATCCGTGAGTTAGCTGTGTTCTGACTTTGATCAGCCCAGAAATCGTTTCAGGGTATCGATAGAAATTTGAAAGTTCATAGAGCATTCATTCAATTTTACCTTTTTCTAGAGATTCAGCACTGTCAGATAAAACATCACATACGAAGATAAAACAGAAAAATCCTAAAAACAACAAGGCTCTCATCCTGAGCGTCGAGAATCGGTCACGATTTGAAAGCCACTTTCAAAGAATTTTTTACCCGAAGCATACGATCGAGGCTGGTTATGCGGACCTGTAATTTTGTATGGTGTTGTATTGGAATGAACTTGAATATTGAGTCCAAAACGAAATTTTCTTTTCTTCATTAAACAGGTGGAAAAATAACAGGTAGAAGCTGTGATCGAATTCGTAGGAAGAAAAGTGGAAACGTTTTTTACTGCACGTTTTAGTGCATTCAATTAGGAATTCTACATAACGCGTAGAACTGTGAATTGGTTTATGAGTAATAAAATACAATGAAAACTTTATTTGCAAACTCACTTTTTATGCTCAGCTAACTTTTTTGTCAATGAATTTTAATTTAAGATTTGGGATTTCTGTGTATTGGTTCATTTTGAATCACCCATGAATCATTATGAATTTTGCAAGATGCAGTCGAAAGCCTCGGTTTGAATGCGCAGTATCGTGTATTGAGTATCTTGGTTATCTTACCATGACGTTTATTTTATTGGACGAATTGACAATGAAACAACGTAGGATTACTAATTATGCAATAGCCTAGCCTGTCTGATTTTGACAAAATCGTCGCCTTTTAGCCTCTAATTGTTTAATAGTCTAATTTTAAAAAAAGCTGCTGGTAAGTAAATTCAGATTTCTGGAGGGTTCAACAGCTGTGCATCTCAATTATACATTCTTTTGGTTCTGAATAATGAAAGAGGTCGAGGAAAGATAAAGAAACTTCAGAGAGAAACCCTGTTTTAGTATATTTTTTAAAATATCTTATAATGCAATAGGAAAAATATAAATACGAAAAGAGTAAATTAAGAGAGTAAAAAAAAGAGGACAAAAAAGAAGAAAAGAAAGGAAAAAAGCAAGGAGAAATGAAAGAGTAAGCGAAAGAAATAACGAAACAAAGAAAATGGGACAGAAAAAAATTCATTCTGGAAAAGGATAAGATACGATACGAAAAGCAAACATATATCAAAAACGCAGAAAAAGGGAAGAAAAGAAACAGAGAAATGAAGAAAGAAAAAGAAAGGAACGACGTAATTCTGTAGAACTCGAGAGAGCAATTAAAGCTCTCTAATAGGAACATTGTGTCTACATATACTTAGTTCTTGTAATATTGAAAATTGGCAGTAGGAGAATGAAAATAATAATAAAGAAACCGTTTACGGTATTTTTATTTTATTGTAAATGAATATCACAGGTTAAAAAAAGAAATGTATGCAATAACAAGTTGTCAGTATTGAGAGAGTTGTTTTAGAATAAATGCATAAAACCGGGCAAAAAGTTAGACCGTATAAAGCACTTGTACAAGAAGCTGGACTCGACTGTATTAATATATATATAWAAGTTTTTTTTCTCGCAAACTTTGCTGCATTTTTTGTTAAAGGAAAAGTTTTAAAAAAGCATGCATCTGCGACAAAAGGTGTTATTTTTTAGTTCGTTTAAACAATAGGAATTTTTCGGCTTCCATAGTAGTTTATCTTTTCCTCGTCTTTAAGTGAGTCCTCCCTCGGTGTGTAACTCACGTCACTTGACACCAATATGAAAGACTGAAAGATAGGCATTAAAAGCAATATTACTAAAAGTGAATTTAATTAAGATTAATATTAAAATCTTTCATGATTTTTTGACTCCTATTATATTCAAGAAATAGTTTGAAAACGACGCAGGTCGAAATCTGATGATATATCTGACAAACAACATTGTATGTTATCAAGAACTCGTGGGAATGATGCTTTGTCCTGATTGGCTACATGTTTCTCTCTCTTCGTAAATCGTTGAATTTGTAAACTTTTAAAAATCTGAATTTATAGTGACTCAAAAGTAATATTAATTTAAAGTATTAATAAAGTATTAAAGTCAAATTAGGCAACAACTAAAATAATTTGAAGTAGCATACCTTTCCACTACGAATACGAGGGTTAACGAGCTTCATTCCATTATTAAGGGGCAAAGGAAACCCTTTTCCTCCGCGCTCTGAAAGTAGTAGATGAAAAAAGGCTTTCAGTATTATGTATTTTAAATTGCTGGCGTCTTGAAAATCAAGCAAAATTTGATTACAAGACAGAACCCACCAACTAAACTGTTGAAGACATAGAAAACGTGCGCGCGTGCTGAGTGTAGTTATAAAGCCACGGGGCAGTTGGCAGAACACGAGAGAAGTGCTTGGAGAGGCACGACACTAAGCGGAGTGATTTTCGACACAGCGTGGGACGATCACAATAGAGCTAGGCTCCAAACTAGGTGAAAGCCCAAAGATGGAATTAGAATTTGGGAGTTGATTTTCGAGGAGGGAGGAAAACCGGACAACCCGGAGAAAAACTCTCGAAGCACAGGAGAGAACCAACAAACAACTCTACTGAGGACTCGAACTCGGGCCGCATTGGTGAGAGACGGCGCATTAGCAGCGCACGCCACCGGTGCTTCCCTAACCTTTTCGAGTGTTTTGTCAATCCTCAAGTGCTTTATAACTCCACACAGCACACCAAGCAAGTTTTTTATTTCTTTTATAAAATACAAATTACGATAACCGTTATTCTAGATAGAATGACGAAACTGAAACTGCATTGAAGATTTTCTCACTGCTGTCAAGAGAGCTAACTAAAGAAATCTACCTAAATTTTCTCTTTAAAGTCAATGAATTTGTATGGGAATCCGAGAACAATGTCCGAACTTTTTGGTGACCGTAACACAATCCAAGCTTGCGCCGAAAAGGTGAATTGATTCTCTATCAAAGTCATATATCAGCACGAGACTGTTTAATGCAAATGGCCTATTTCAGTTATAGTGTGACTGGTTATTTCGCATATGATTATTTTATAGAATATGCGCAATATAAATTATAAATATAAATAAATAATTATTACTGATTCCAATCTACACAAATGATTTGCTCAGTTTTCGATTGACAACTGAATTGTCTTTACATTCTAATTTTCCCCATTTTGTCTTTACTCCACCAATTAGTAGACCGATTTCAGGAATTCACAGAGCCGTTCAACTTAGAGGACAAAACAATGAATTTCAGTTTTCATGAGAGTAAGATTTTATTGTTTTGTCCTCTCAATTGGGCAATATCCCTGCAAGGGGCCTATTAACTAACAATTACAATCCTTCGTCCTTGTTATTTATTCTTACCGTTGATTTTCTGCATGATCTTGCCATTCACGATGAAGTCAAGGAAAAACTGAAGCCCTTGGACGTATCTCTAGAGTGGAAGTATAGCGATTTTTAATGTAAAAATATTTGTCACGAAAAGCATCAAGACGCTTTTAAGCCGTATCTAATTATTCTTAGGACAGCCTATTTCGTTTCTTATGACTGCCGGGAATGGTTCATTTCGAATTGAGGCTCCGGGAAACGATTATACCAACGCAGTTATTGCTTTCTTTTTTACGGCGGATCCTCGAATCGGATTGCTTTGTACTTTTACACTCAACCAGAATATCGAAAGTTGGCTATTGTAAATGAACCGATTTTTACTTTGATTTCTACTGATTTACTATACTAATGTGGCTCATTGCTTCAAAAACAACTCGTCTCTTACCTTGATGTCACCAATCGCAGAACGAACGAGAATTGCCTTCAGTCTGAAAGGAAATCAAGACAGCAAATTCGAAGTCAAATTTTGTTAGTGTTTAGGAAAAAAATTGGTTTGTGTTGGTGTTAATGTTGTTGCTGTTGCTGTGGCATTTTAGTTGTTACTGCTGCTGTTGTTGTTTCTGCTGTTGTTGCTTCTGCTGTTGTTGTTGCTGCTTTTGATGATACTGTTATGTTATTGTTGCTGCGTTGCATCTTTTGTTGTTGCTGCTATGCGGCTTTTTTGTTGCTGTTCAGCTATTGCTGCTGATGCTGATGCTGCTGTTCAGTTGTTGCTGCTGTTGCTGCTGTTGTTCTCGCTGTTTTTTTTTTATTGCTGCTGCTTCTAATTTGATTTGTTCCAGTATGGTAAACGAAAGCAAGACGTGGCAGAAGATAGATCCTGTGGCCTTTGAATCATTCTAAGCACGACATGCCATTAATCACCAAATCAGCACATCAAGGCACTAAGCAGTCACAGTTATCGCATGAGAATCGGTTAGGTCTTTGTTCATATCGAATCTCGAACAAAAATCTCAAACTTACCTCAAAAATGTTGAATGTACTGTAAGGTTCGTTTGTTTAAAGTTGAGCTGTAATGTAACTTGTATTGTCTAACAAAAAAAATATCAATATTTCTATTTTAGATGTGGTACGACATTTTTTCCGATAGATTATCTATAACTTTAAGTCCTATCAGCAGTTCACATACATTAATAAGGCATATCTCTAAGGCATGTCCTTTGTCCATGTCTCTGGAGTACTCGTATCAACATAATTCAACTGTAATAAAAACAGGCTTGATGGTTTACCTACCAGACCAAGGGTAAGTGTATAAACAGAAGAACCATTGGCCAAGTCAACGTACATCTCTATATTACACTCACTCAACAAACTGATTCCAGACGTTTCCGAAGTGACGTTGGGGATCTTTGTGGCATAGACTTTGAGTTTCATCGGTCGGTTAGGGTATTTTTCATACAGCTGACGAAAAATAATACATTTTTGAATAATAGTTTGTAAGTGAATACATTTTATTTATATCGAGACAGCGCAGGGACTGGTAATGTAAATACGAGGCCAGTTGTGCCCGAATAGGAAGTAAAGATGATGATGGTACAAGGTAATATAACGGGTTTTTGTTTGATGTTGGCTTCGTTTTGATTTGATCTTACAAAATAAACACAAAGGCAGGAATGACAACGGTCTTCAAATATAAATGGGATGCCTTCTCGGGAAAGTCCCCAAAGTCTTCAATCCACTTATGGACACAAATGGTGAACTTGGCAGCGTGCACGTGGTCAGTGCTGTCATAAAGCACGCGCCCCAAACCTTTCAGATAGCGTGTTAAAACAAGTAGTTTATAAATACCGGTGGGATTAGTTTCTTGAATGTCTTGGTGTTGAGGTTATAGGTAGAATTCTTTGGAAACTGAAAGGGAAGAAAATTGATAATGACAATCGTGTCTTGGTGTTGAGGGTATATGTAGGATTCTTTGGAAACTGAAGACACAACATACCAAAAGATATAATATAAACATATATATCATAATATTGGCTGTGTTGAATTCGATTAGTTATTCCAATTCGATCACGGGCATGCGCAGTGGGAAAAACCTGTATTTGACTAGAAACTAGAAGAAAACGTTTGCGCATGTGTTTTTCATTACTTTTTGTGAATAAATGAAGATAAATGCTCATAGTTTTCACTTTTCTAAAACCAATATACTTTATCAAAAACATTTTATAATTGGCCTTTAGTTTTAAGTGACCTGATACCACGAAGACTAATTGAGTGTATTTTATATAGACTAGAAGCATGCGCAGACGTTTTACTCTCTAGTCGTGTGAATGTATAAATAACATTTTGACCAAATGTATTTACCAATCACTGATCCTTACAATCGATAAACTGATAAACCCCCTTGTTTAACTTAAATGATTTTTCTATAATTAAATAGAGGCATAAACAGCCCTGAAGCATATGAAACAACGAACAAACCAATCTATACAACATCAAACATTAACCAATTACAGTGAACATACGTCATCAGGAGTAAATGTGTGGTTCAAGAACCCAGCCCTCATGTAAGCAAAGCCGGCTGTGTTAAACATGTAGTCAGTGATCCATCCATACACCATGCTACTTGATTCAGAGTCTATTGGAAGGGGTTCCGGTGAGAAGGGTGCTTCACTTGGATGGGCCACAGATTCAAATTCGCCCTAGAAAGATATTTGACATTAAAAAGGGCAAGGAGAAGAATAAGAAAGAGGGGGGGAGAGGGAGAGTAGGAAGAGGACGAGGACGAGGACTCAAGGACAGCTTAACTCTTCGTTTACTAAATTTAAATACCTTGAGTAAAACATCGATGAAAGAGACAGTCGTGTTTGGACTGCTTATGAGAGAGTAGTCAATAAAGGTGTACTTGTCCAGTTTTTTCTTAACTAAAACGAAAAAGAATATTTATAAATCTAGGAAAGACCTACTGTGGGTTTTACCTCACGCTCGGGCCTCTGATCAAAGTCAGGGTACAGCAAACTCACAGATCGAACCCTGAAAAAACCTCTGGGCTGAT